GCAAATTTCCATTTTTAATAAAGAAGCTGACTTTAGACAATCGTACCTTGCTTCCTTATAAGCTACTCCGACATCTCTCATCCTGTAGGTATGAGTTTACAGAACATGCACAATAAAATTTTAGTAACATTCCATTATTTCATCATCATCAATGGCAAACATGAACTCTCAAATAATCGACACATAGCATTCAAACGTAATCCTATCTTTAAATGAACTAGTCCATTCATTTCTGTATCGTTTTGTTTTCCTTCTACATAAAAAGAAAACAATTGCATTTTGATGTCGAACCTCTACCCTTCTTTGACACCTGCGTAAATAACACTTGAAATTTTAATCCAATATTGCAAACTATGACGTATTGTTTTCTCTTCCTTCACGCAGATCGATGATGTCATTGAAATGATGATTGCATACAACGCGCAACAAGTTAGCAAAAGCTTTAAATTGGTTGAATAATGTCATCGAGAGAGGAAATAGTTGGTACTAAGAAAACTCAACATTCAGTGTTCGATCCTCAACGGATAAGAATTAACATGTGTGAAGTTCAATGATCAGATCATTTGTTTGTTTTCATGTCTAGACATTTGAAATTCTACCGGAAATCACAATCAAATGAGATAAACTCGATTTTCTTTGATCTTTCTGAATGCATCATAGAACAACTGATTACAATACATCTTGCCTTTTTTTATTTTTAAATAAGAACACCGGATGAACAAAGAGAAAGAGCATTGACAGATTTATACAAGAGGATCATTAAATGCCATAGACACTTTGCTGTTGATTTGAAATGGCTGAATCGAATGATGATGTGCTCGATATTGTGCCAAGTTCAACGTAAGGCTGATCAGTGTTACGGTATGCAATAGGAGAATAAATAACGTTAAATAGAAAGAATATGATAGGTGAATAGTATTGAAGGTGTATTTTGTTGTTGTCCATACGAAAAAGATCATTGTTGATAGACAAAAATACGTTAAAATGGTGAGACAAAGTTGAGTTAAAAGTGAATGTAATGATGTATGATAAGTACGACGTATAAGAGTAATAAACCAGATAAGACAACTTAAGTCAGTTAATAAGGCAGAAACCAGAGAGAGATGTTGAAGAATGAATAGTAGACGACCTAAAATACCGTAATTGTTGTTAATTTCAAATATACACTAGCGAATATTTACCTTCTTGGGTATCAATTTGTGGCTCAACAGTTGTCCACACCGATGGGAGCGAATGTGCGCGCCAAAGGCCGACTTGAAATGTCTCCGAAGACCACCAATACGGCAAAAGCATAGCAATTGTAGTCAGTACAGTTGTAATTGGAATAGTGACCAAGAACATCATTTTGTTTTCGAATGAAATGATTCTTGTTCGCTTTCTCACCGTGTTTATATATACATAAATGCACTCTTTCTGTTTCTGTTTCTCTCTTCTCTCTCCCACGATATGCTATCAACAATGTATATGAACAACGATTGACAATTCTTCTTCTATGGGAAAGCAGCGATCGCATGCGAACGTGTCAATATGTACAAATGACATTCAATCACTTTGCTATGGCTATTTACACACGTATCAGTACATAGATGAATGATCATAAAAGAAAACGAATAGAGAGGGAGAGCAATGTTTTTCCCATAATGAACAGATTGATATTTTCTGTTAGATCGATAATAGATCGTCGACAATTTTCTCATCAAACGAAATCACAATTCGCACATTGGAAGAAAAAAAAGGAACTGATTGATGTTGTAAGACGATTTCTCTTCTTTGACGATTAAGCCATATCAGACGTATGACATGATTGCTGAATG